AGTTCAGGAGGAGCTTCAAAAAGCGCATATAATCTTAAGGTCTCCGAATAAGATTTGAAATCTCTTTTAAATCTTATTCCTTGAGGAAGGATTTAAAGTCTGTGAGCTTTGGTATAGACATCCGTTCTTATCAGAATATCTTTGTTGGGCATAGGAGTCCCAATAACATTGGTCCAGACAGTGCATTCAAGGAAAAACCTTATCCTTATAGGTTGCTTAGTAACTAGGTAGGTTATGAAAATCTTTCCATCAGCTGCTACAAAGTAAGTTGTCTCTTTCTTCCATGCTTCTGGAGGTAAGATCTTGGGATCCATCATCGATCTTTGAGCACCAGTATCCATGTATGTAATCACCTTTTTTGGATGACTGAATTTAGATGATAAGATGTGAACTTCTACACTAGGCTTTGGTATGACTGGGCTGAGATAGAAAACTTCATTTATAGCAAAGACTGGAACATCATTATCAGAAATTTCTGAATCAAAAGAGGGGTTTTGGAGTGCGAAGACAGTGTCTTCATTTCCAGTGCTTTGTTCAGAATAAAACGATTCTGCATCACCATCATCAAGGTTCAAAGCAGTTATCGTCTTTACTGCTTTATCAGATTTGTTAGGGAAATTTTTTGTATAAGAACCTTTCTTCTTGCAAATGAAACACTTTTTCCCTTTGTTCTTTCCAAGAAACTTTTTCTTCTTGAAGAATTTGTATTGCTTCTGGGATTTATTACTCTTCTTCTTCTGGTTGAATTTTTTGAAATGAGTCTTCTTCTTTGTTCTGCAATCACAGCTATTGCCATCTTTATATTTTATCTCGAGATAAGACTTTTTACAGGCTTGAGTATACTTTGATCTCTATTTCATCAAATCAGTCATGCACTTATGCTGCTTACAAAGCTTATCTACTGCTTCTAAAGTCAGCTGGTGAATCTGACCTATAGTAAGGGCCGTGAAATCTTTCCCTTGAGCAATGGCCATTCGGTTCAATTCAGGTTGAATTTCTTTAGGGAGAGAAGCTAGGTATTCTTTAAGCTTGGATCATTGTATCCATTCAGCAAGTAGAATCTCTGCATTATTCTTTTGAAATGTATTTCTAGATCTTTAATCTTCAAAGAGCAACACTTCATCTCAAAGAATTCTTGCCTGTATTTTTTGTCTATGATGTCCCCATCTCCAATGAATTCTTGATGGATAACTCTTAACATTCCAGAGGTTGTACCAACATTATGGAGTTGGTCTTATCGGATACTTCTCAAGTTATGATACCATTCCTTGAGCGAACCAATCATTCTTGACCAGAATTTCTCCATTACTTTGTAAGGATCAGAATCAACAGGTAAGAGTTTAGTATCAATCCATGACCCAAATTCTAAAATTCCTTTTCTCCTTAGGTATGGAGAAATATCATCAAGTGTGAATCAAGGTCTTGCAGCAGTTGTCTTCTTACTATGACTTCTGCTAGTAACATCTCCTGACTCAGATTCAGGGGAAAATATGACTCAACTCTGGATTCAGCAGTTCTGGCCATCAGTATGCCAGTAATATCAACATATTATGCTTTAGAGAGATAAGAAGAATCTAGCACTTCATCAGATTGTTCTTCTCTAGAGGTTCCAGAAGTAGTTTCAGAAAGATTCTAGTGATCTGAATCTAATTCAAGAGCTCCTTTAGAAGATGTCTCAGAGGAATTAGAACTCTGGGTGTTTGACGAAAATTCAGTTAACTCAGATGATTAGTATTCATCTGTGTCATGTGGTTCAGTCTGGATTATGGTTAATTGGTCTTTAAGATCTGCAGTCTCAAAAATTCTTTTTGAAGAGTTGAGATTTTCTACATGGTCTGTAGAGTTTGAGGATAAAGAAGGGGTTGTCTCCATTCTAGTTCTAGATTAGTGTCTTCTAGAAGTAGAAGGTTATTTTCCTCTCTCTACTTTCTTTGCGAGTTCTTTGATCATAGGGTTAGCTGCTTGAAAAAGTCCAAGGTCTTGGAGGATGTGGATTAGTCCAGAATTCTGGTGATTTTTGGAAAGGAGAATAATAATTTGGCATGAGAGGTGACAAAAAGGGATAATAGTTTTCTACTGGTTCTTGCTTTTGCTGAGATCTGATATTCTGTTCAATGATTCTTTCAAGATCATGAATCTCTGCCTTTAACCTTCTTATCTCTCTATCTCTCATATTGGCTTCTGGAGTAAAGCCTAGCTTTCTGACTTCTTCTTCAAGCTGAGCAATTTGCTTCATGTTCTTCTCATAGTGCTTTCTCATTTTTTTTAGAGATGTTGCAAACGATCTTAAATAGTATCCATCTGGTTGTAAATCTTTTCAACTTTGGAATCAAGTTTCCTCATAATAGAGTTCTGAGCTTGAGCATTCTCTGTTTGCCAATTGAGTACTTCTTCAGCTTGACTTAATTGCTTTAATTTCCTATATGGAAGGACTTCTCCTTGGGTGATTAAAGCTTTGGTGGTGATTTTAGTGGTTGGGTTGGTGTGTCTCTCTAAAGGAGGAAAATCACTTTGTGAGAACATTATACAGGGTATTGGTTGAGTAATTGGTAAGGATTCAGGCTGGCATCTTGAGATGGTATCTTTTGGTGACCAGGTCAAGAGTTCAGGGTTATTCGATGGAGGAAGTAATCCTTCTTCTCTAAGGATTTCTAAACCTCTCTTATAAATCCAAAGAGGTCCAGGTTTCTTCTGTGTGCTAAGACCTACTTATGGACCATTATCTGGTCAGATCTTCTTTGAGCTGGAGGAGGTGGTTTGCAACGCCTTCGACTTCTTGTATTTTTTCTTCTTCCTGTTCTTCCTCTTCATTTGAAGTATCTCCAGTGTGCATCCAACAATCACACTCGGGATCACACATATTAGGATTTGTATCCCATATAAAATGACCGTTAATGCGATCAGTAAAGATAAGGGATCCATCCGGCATTATCCCATAGAATGGGATTTGATCTTCAGTGTAGCATGGAGATATCATCATAGATTGAAAGATAGGAAGGGTAGAACTGCTGGCTACTACATCAGGCTTCTTAAAGATTTTTCTTACGGTTCCATCAACAGATCTTCTAAAACTTGCTTCATGAGACTTGATAGGCTTGCTGGCTTTATGAATCTTCTCATAATTAGTCAGCCATTCTAAAGGAATTAATTCTGTAAATTCTTCACGAGATATTTTTCTCGGAATCTGGATGATTGAAGATGTATCTTCTTGATTTTTGGCTATGACAAACAAAGCATCGCTTTGGCTGTTAGGCAGCTTTGGAAGATCTACAACATGATCTTGGAGTCTATACATCATCTGATGGTGAAGGGTTGCAACATATGTATCAAAGACTTAATAAGCTCCTGTGAGCTGGATTTGTACTTTGAGCTTTTTTTGTAAAGTTTTATCTTTTAGACTGACATTATAATTTGGGAAGATGATTAACACTACACTTCCTGTATGAAGTGTTGTCAGGATAATGCCAATGATAACATTTTCATAATAGATGAAGCTAGAGTCTAGCAAAGCAATACGAGTTGTGATTGGAAGACCTTTCCTTCCATGAAGTGAAAGGATTAGTCTGGTTGCACCAAAATGAAGTGCAGTATAGCCTTCTTGCTTCCAGTGATTGATAAATTCAGTAGGAATCTCCAGATTTACATATTGTTCTTGTGAAGTGGCTTGTAGTTCACACTGATCTATTCGGGAAGACTGGACATATTCTTTCATAGTCGGTCTCCTGGTGGAGATCAACATGGTGATACTCTTAAACACAGATCTTTGTCTCTTAAAAATATTATAAGGGCAGAGCAATGGTGATACTGTTTCAAGGATCTTTGCATCTTCAGGGACATAAGAGTATTCTATGAGATTTTCTATTTTTGAGGATATTTTTGTGGGAATATGTTTAGGAAGGGACATGGAATACTGTAGCATAATCGACTGGGTATTTTCAGTGTTTGTGTTATCCATGATTTAAGAAGTTCTTCTCCTACTCGCTTCATATAATATTATGACTATCTTTACCCTCTCTCTGGAAGAAACTCGAAGAGTTTCCTTAAGACCGCCTTCATCAGGCAGGGAGCCTGTCATCGGGGATGACACAATGGTAGGCTCTAATACCAAGTGGTCGGGAGCCTCACAATCCTTAAGATTATGAGAAAGTTACTTCTATAATTGCTAATCTCTGGATGAGAAAGTTAGTATACTCTACACTTGCCCTGCAAAGGGATCATGTGTATCAGAAAGTGGACTCTGTAATGATCCAGTATTAAGGTCCTCTCATCTTTAAAGATTCATGGATGATAGTCTCCGATAAAAGAGCTAAGAGGTGAAAGGTGAAAGCATTAAATGTGGGAAATCATAATCATTCATTTGTACGTCAAACGACTAGAGAAATAATTTTACTATATATATATATATATGGCTTAGTGAGTATCAAGTGACTGGATGTAATTTTGGTCCAGTGCACTGTATTCTCCCGCGAGAACATAGTGCACAAAATATTATAACTATGTTCTCCCGGGAGAACACCCGAAGAAACACCATTGTAATATTTTTGCACTATGTTCTCGCGGGAGAATATAGTTACAATACACTCACTGGACAGTCCAGTGACTGAATTTTTAATTTTTCGATATATATATATATATAAACAACGTCTATACAAGAATTTTATTGAGTGTTCATATAAGGGAAAATAACTCTCATGTTACTGTAGAGCCATCGATTTTCGCCACATTTTTTTTTTAATAAACAGTAGGCCCCATCACATAGTTGTGTTTGCAGCAAGAGACAAAATGTCTCTTGTTGCAAGAGTTTAATAACCCTCTACATATAATACACATTATCTACTAAAATAAAAATAATATAACTCATTTAACCTAACTATATTTATTTTATCCTTATCTTTGTTAATATCATGTGAAGAACTTGTTTCTAATTTTGTAAAGGGAATATATAGCACATGAACATTGAAAATTTATTGAGATTCTTATGTAAACTTTAAGCAAGGTTCAATACATAAATAAGCATAATTCATAACAAAATAAAATGAGGGCCAAGAAAATTGACCCCATATATACAATATAATTTTTTGATGAGAAGTTGACCATATGTTATTTCTTTTTCTTTTTTTATTTCTAATGTAATATAATATGTCCACTATTTATCCAAAGATTCATTTGGATATTTTGCCATAGAAAGAAACACACTGCATTTTCTGACCAGAAAACCAATGCTTCTTCTAGTTATGCTTCACTACAAGAGGGCTCTTAACTTTGTGGCTTCCATCTAACCACAACAAATCCCCAAACACATAACCTGATGCATGTTTGTGTACTTTTATGCCCTTCAAAATAACCTTGAATGTCTTCTTTTCACCAACTTTATTGAATGTCAAGGATCTTGGCTCAACCAAAACTGAAACCCCATAAGGTGCCTTGACATACACATGATATGTACCTGGTGACCCAACATTTGTAACTGTACGGCTAACTTTTATAGAGTGTTTCCCAAGATTAGGCACTGTGATTGAAGGATAGTTAAAATCTAGTATGCTGTAAGACTTAGGACAAGTGTGGTGCTTCATAGAAAACATCCTAATTTGTGTCTTCTTGTAACCATGACCACATAGGAAGTTCAATTAATCAGCAGTGTTTAGATCATATACAAGTCCAGGGTCCATTGCAAGTTCTGGTTGAATGTGTCCTGCACCATAAGCAAATGGAGTTGCTTCTTCCTTAGATTGATCCAAAATTGGTCTGTTGTTGTCATCTAGTGTCATTGCTGAAAGTGCATAAATTTTATATAGTTTCTTAGAAATATAATATGAAATATAAAATATTGTAAGTTTTTTTAACATAAATAGATGGGTTTGTACATTATCCACTCTTCAAGCTAAATGTGTTCTTGTATAAGGGACATGATAGAAATATAATATCAAAGTGTTAACATGTGTAAATTATTGGTTAACAAGGTGTATCAATCGGTTATTGAAGTAGTAGTACTTTGTTCCCACCTTATCAATTCCTAAGTCAATAATCAATCAACATACATTATTAATTAATAATTTAAATATCATTAACTTGTGTATGGAAGGTCTCAGGTGTAGGAATAACAAAACTGCACAAAAATATATCACATTTTGAGGGATTAGATCTTTGTGATATCTAAAAGACTTGTGTATTGCATATGTACCAGTAGTCATGATTGCAGATTTTAAGGCTGCAGGACTCCGATTGGGATGAAGTATTTTGAGAAGGCCAATGATGCCAGAGACATGAGGGCAAGAAAAAGAAGTTCCTGACTCTATATTATATGGAACCCTACGATTATCTGATGCAAGACTAGTTGGACTAACAGCTTCTGAGGATGCACAAAGAATGTCCACACCTGGTGCAGTGATATCAGGCTGAAAATGAAAACAAAAGTTGAAATTGGAAAGTCATCTTAAGAAGCATTTGAAGGAACTAATGGCAAAGATGGTGGTGAAAATGAAACAACCTTGAGGATATTTGCCTGGATGGTGTTAGGTCCCCTAGATGAAAATGAAGCTATTATTGGAGCTGGTTTTATTCCTAGTTGAGTTTTTGCTTTGGTCATGTAAGCCATGGGGGTCCTGCAATATATGCATAGATATAGATTGATTAATTAGTTTCTAGAAACTAGAAACAGTTTTTGGCATTTCTGAATCCAAAGGGATTGGTGTAAGAGAAAGATAAATTACTTGGTGCCTTTGATGTAGGAATAAACATATTCACTATCTGTGTAATTGATGTGTGAAGTAGGCAACAAATGAGCATATGCTATAATGTCATTACCACGTTTCTTATTATTTGCCAAAATTAGTCCTACTGCCCCTGTAGAAAGAGCTTGTTCCTCCGCATAAAATAATCCAACAGTCTCCCTTAGGAGACAAACCAAGATTTTTCCCTTTGCCTTCTTAGGATCAAGAGTTCCAATCTTACAGATTTGACTGCAAGAAATCATGACAAAATAATATACCAAGAAACAATAATTATACAAACTAGACACATTGAAATGACTCTATTGGAATATTTGAACTTACGCATCTTCAATTGTTGCATTAGCAACTTTTGCATCTACAGAACTGATCAAAGAATAGAACTTCTCAGATGGCAAGCCAGTTGAAAGACTAGTTCCCTGGCAGTCAAAATTGAAATATGTAGAAAAAAAGTTAGAGCATTCTATGATGTTTATTTTGTTTTTTGAGCAAAGTTAGATTCAATTTGAAGCACACCCTAAACTTATTACAGTTGAAGAAATCTAATATAAAATCATTAATGTGACCTTCACTTAAAAGCCTAAACTGTTAGTTGTAATGGACTCGTGTAAGGAGACGTTTTAGAGTAATATAATGTAAAATCATCAATGAAACTTTCACCTAACGACATAAACTCTTGGTTAAAATGAATCTTTACAATTACACACAACTATGGGCCTAAACTGAAATGGAAGAAACAAAAGTACAAAAAAATGATACCATTAGGTGCTTCTTGTCACCAAGAGCTATATAATTAGCAAAATCTCTGTCTATTGTGCTAGCACCAACACTGAAAACCCATGGTGCCACATTAGTTACGGTTCCAGGTTCTGGTCCCTTATTGCCTCCAGAAGCAACTACTATTATACCATTGGCAACTGCATGAAAGGCCCCTATGGAAACCCCATCTTCAAAAAATTCTTTAGGAGTAGGATGACCAAGGGAACAGGAAATTACATCAACCCCATCACTTATAGCAGCCTCAAAAGCTTCTATGATATCTGCATCAGTGCATTCAATCTGAATGGTCCCAAGCCAGCATACCTTGTAGGCTGCAACATGGGCTCTTGGGGAACCACCCTTTGCAGTGCCATTGCCAAAGCCAAAAACACTTGCTCCTTGAACTAAGTTACCTCCAGCAATTGACAGAGTTGCGGTACCATGGTTTAATACATCACGTGTTGTATAAAGGGATGTGTTCAGTTTTCCAAATTTTGACTCATAACCTTTGCTGAAGAATCTTGCTCCTATCAGTTTCCTGCGTGATTTTGTACATAGCATAAATAGAAAGGTAACAGATTTTCTTTTGAATTAACAAAAGGTTATCAGTTATCACATTGCATTCTATTCTTGACTGTCTTTGCATATTGGGGTGATCAAGTGGAACTATATTTATAGTCATGATTTATCAATGAACAACACTTGGATTACCTGACCAAGTTATATAGTAATGGGTTTTATTGATTATTTTAAGCATGAAAGCATTCTGGAGAGTTAGAATTTGAGCTTTTTAACTTTTTTTTTCTCTCTCCTTTACTCTCACTAGGAAAAAAAAATTTAATTTTATTTATTTACTATTATGATTATATTTATTTATTCTTAACCTTTTCTTCATTTGAGATAGATTTTGGGGACAAGAACTAAAATGCCACATTTTGATATTTTAATTGTGAAAATGCCACGGTTTAAAAATAAAATGCCAAAATGCTATGTTTTAGGATCCATTATCAATCCCAATGCATTCTTATCAAGGCTAACGGGCCGGGCCGAGCCGAGCTTTGATCTTAAAAGGCTAAGCCTGCGTTTAAATGTATCAGCCTGACCTAACATGTTACCTGTTACGAATATAATTATCGGCCTTGGCCTGTCTTATTTACAAAAAATAAAAGTCTGGTTTGATCTGTTAGTCTGTTTAAAAAAGAAATAAGACAATAAAAATTTATCCAAACAGAATATACAAACAACAACACTAGTAATTCCATAAATATTCATAAATTCAATGTATATCCAAACAGCATGATATAGAACAAAATTATTCAAAAAATCTGTTTAACCAAAAAAATTGGATGAAATGGATTGAGAAGAAAGAAGGAACTATTACAAGTAGTATAAAAAATATAAAATAAAAATAAAAATTAATATACTAGATCGGCCTGAGAGGCTCCAAGACCGAGTTTTTGAATTAGAGCCTCAGGCCTTTTTATTAAACGAGCTTTTATACAAGTCTAAACCTTATTCCAATAACCAATTTCAGATATGTAGATTCAGGCCTTCACGAGCCGAGTCAAAAGCCATTTGTTTACCACCCTTAATCAAGGCGATACGTGACAAAATAGTAACCTAATTATATAAAAAGATACCGTTAATTTGAAACGTATCACGCGGACAGGACCTACTGTTAGAAATAACGGCTCAAACCGGATCCGTTGGGACTAACAAGTATGATATTTTGATATTTTGATATTTTATTTTTGAATTGTGGCATTTTAAAAATTAAAATGCCTAAGGGTGACATTTTGATCTTTGTCCTTAGATTTACATGAATATAACCTTCTTAGTTCTTTGCCAATTAAATGTTTCATGAGGTGAAAATATAGAGGACAAACCTATTGCAGCTAAAATTATCAAGTTGACAAATCCCACGCCACCTTGATGGGACAGGGTTCATTCCTTCTTCACTGAAACTTTTAGATTCAGGCCAAACACCTGTTTCGGAGTCAAGGAAAAAAAATTAACACAATTTCCAATATAGATAATCATAATTGAAAAATTTATAAAAAAAACAAAACAAATGTGACCCACACATTATCCTATACAACTGCATTAAAAAAAGAAAATTATTTTTCTTAGGAAAAAAACAAGAAGCAGCCTCCTATTTTGAAAATTTAACAGAAAATTGACCTTGACTATGAGGATAAGAAACTGACCTGTATCAATGTTAGCAATGATTGTACCCTCACCACATCTTGCCTTCTCCCAAATGGAGTTTTTGGGAACCACTCCATTACTCTCTAGCCCAAGAAATTCCCAAGATCTTGTGGTTTGTAGTTCATGCCCTTTGTTCATAAAAACAGACACTACATTTGGATTTTCTGCACCCATCAAAACAACACAATATTTTTTATTCAAGTCCAGTGAATATCTCGGGTGAGAGGACGTGTTAGAGATATATAAAAACTATTAATTTAATCTCACTCGTCAGCTTAAGATTTTAAAAGAAGGCACATCAGTGGTTTATATATTTCTTTAAAAGATTCAAAATGACTTGTTTTTTGTTTTTCAATCTTCAAAAACAACAGTACTATATTTGGATGATGGTACATGTGATTCACTTACTTGCTATCTCTGTTGCTTGTTCCTCTTCAAGTACAGCAGCAAAACCATTGATGTGTTTATTATAAGAGTAAAATATAGCTTCTTTGGCTTTCTCATGGCTGTGAAGGAATCATATATATATTTGAGTATTCAATTTCATCTGTCCAATTATAACATTCAAAAGGAGTTTGTAATTGGATTCTATACCTTCCCAAGTGTGAGCCTAATAATTTGTAATGGGAATTTGTTGCTGACTCGAGTTCACTTGCTGAAGGGTTTGGACCATGAGAATGTGATCCTAAGTATACAATGTAAGACTGCAACAAAATAAAGAAAAGCTTTCAAAACATTGAAGTGTATAAGCATAAGCAAATTTATTATATATTTTGAAGTTGAAAAGAAAAATATAACACAATCAGCTACTTAAAGAACTAGTTACAAATGTTCTGATGGTTTGTTATTGCAAGTTCAGTACTATATAAGCCTGAAATTAGCAAAAATTAAGAAAACTGATGCTAAATGGAAAATGAGCTTGCCATTTTAATGGCATGGGATGATTGAAGCAAGGAAGACCAAAGAAGAAACAATGAGATAAGGTGGAAAATAGAGAAACCCATTATGTCCCACTGTGTGATGTGCATAGACTGAAGAGGCTATGTGATGTTCTTAAAGTGATGAAGTCAAGTAGTCAACAAAGGCTTTTACTTTTCATAGCGTGAAGTATTGGCTTTCTATTTGAAAGCAACCTTGGACACAATCAGTCCTTCGTAAGAATAAGAATACTCAAATATTAGTTAGAGATCTCTTGTATCTAATTCTTCATCTATCTATACAATGATAATAGTTAGATATAAATAATATTAAGAGGGTAACTTAATTAATTGGGTATAAAATGATTTCGTATCTTTCTTATGTTACATAGACAATATCATGTACATATGAAAAGGTGATGAGACCCACTAATTCACCTATTTTTTTGTGTGTACACGTGATTACGTGATAAAAATTATCTCATTCAACATAAAAATTATATTATATATATATATTTATATATATGAGCTTATCATTTCTCAAACTGTCGGAGATAATTTTATCTCCGATTACTAAATTATAACCGTACAAAGATAGATCAATGATAATGAAGGAAGATAGAGAAAAAGGGAATCATAACCATTCAAAGGTAAATCAATCAATATAAGGAAATAAATAAACAAAAAGACGTAATTTTAGAATAGCCGGAGATAAACTTATCTTAAGTTGCCGGAGAAATATTTTTTCATATATATAAACATTGACAATGGAATATTGTTTATCATGTGAGATGATATAACCTTATTTTCTGGGAACAGTGACCAAAATGCCACGCTTTGACAAAAAAATTATCAGAATGCCACGCGAACAGTAAAATTTTCCAAACTGCCACGCGGCATAATTCGCTACACTGTGTAGCGAATTATGCCGCGTGGCAGTTTGGAAAATTTTACTGTTCGCGTGGCATTCTGGTAATTTTTTTGTCCAAACGTGACAAAATGGTCACTGTCCCTATTTTCTGTAACCCAAAACTACATCCTTTTGGGTAATAAATTTTTTTCTTCTTGCGCAAGGCACCTCCCCCACACTCCTCTTTCTTTGGTTTAGAAAAATATTATAAATTAATTAGTCATGTAAGTTTAATAATTTTTGTCATCTAAAATGATCTAAATTTTATTTTTTTTGGTACATAAAATGATCTAATTTTAAATTGTAGGAGATAAGGTTATTTCTAATATAACCGCAAATACAATAATGGTTCAATTTTTCTACAGTCAATGTAGATAACTTATCTATATTAAGCCCAAAACGACGTCGTTTTTAGACAAAAATCAAGATATTTTGTAATTATAATTTGTTTTAAGGTTATAATAGTCTTTTTCATTATAATTTTTTAATTTTTAACCCCAAATAACATCGTTTTAGGACATTGTAGAAACATTAAACCCATACAATAATTCTATATGAAAATAATGTTTGGGAAGCTGAAAACAACACTTACGGTGTGCATACACCCAATTTATTCGGCTATGGCCTTCAAATTTAAAATCAAGCCAAGTTTCATGACTTTTAGAAACAAATATCTTTGCTTATGTTGTATACAGACAATATGTCTTTTTAGAATATTTCTCGTGTTGGGAAATTAATCTGTAGACACTTTCTCATTTAAAATGTACTTACAAGAATTGATTTCTTCATTTGCAAAAATTATTATACTAAAATAATAATAAGGATTTGTTTAGCAAAAAAAAATTGATTTGGACTTTGCGTAAGATTTCTAATTTAAGTTTTGTGAATAGAAAAAATTAGCACAGAAAATTCTTCACTCTTTTAAATAAATTTACGAAACTCAATTCAGATTAGAGACTTAGAGTAATTTCTAAATTAAAAAATGATTTATATATAAATTAAACTCACATATTCATTATTGTACCTTTCGTCGTTTTACATATAAATAAGGTAAAGTATTCATTTCGTTCTGTTTCATATTGCTGATATCATTCCGCTATTATAAAAAGTGCCGGTTACATTTGGGAGAACCGTGCAGTCACAAAGGGTCTTGTTTATTCTGTTTTTGTTTTTTTTAATTGTTTATAAAATAAAAAAATTTGATAAACTTTATTTTAGAGGTTTGAAAATGAAAATAGAGAAATCATGATAACAACAATTAAAATATAATTTTTATTTTTTTTTTAAAAGTAAAATATGAAAAAATAAAATTTCAAATTAATAGAATAAAAAACAAGTAATGAAACAAATTTTTTTTTTTAAAACTTATTTAGACCCAAAGCACGCCAAATTTTTCCTTCCGCTTAATTCTTAATCACTTCGATGAAAATTATTTGAGATATTGTTACTCAAGAAGGAAATTAGTGGCGGAGCTAGGTATATCTTGGATGTGGTCTCGGCCCGAGTTAAATTTTAACAAATTATACGTATTATATGTAATTATATAATTAATTATAATTTGGCCCGGGCTACAATTATATTTTGGTCCAATCTAAAACTTAAAATATTTTTGGTAAGATATTTGGGTAAGTTGTATTAGCTTATGTGTTCAATTTCTACTTGTATAAAAAAATATTTAATAAAATTATAATTCTTCTTGGTACTGCCTGCTCATGTGCTCTATATTTAATATAATTTAAATAGGAAGGGTTATATTTACACACTTTTTATTTATAAACTCTTACAAACTATTCTATGCACTCCATAAGTGCACTAGGTAACACTACGTACTTCCGAGAGTATATAGTATAATTTGCAAAATAAAATTTATAAACGGATCATTTCCCAATTTAAATATATTATGATAAGAACTAACTAAAGTTAAGAATCGGACTCAAATTTGAGCCCGGCTCCGCCACCGAAGGAAATGATGCTCTTGCATAAGTCATGTTAGTTATACAAATTATTATTCAATAATTAAATTTTTAATATCAATTATAAATATTTTATGATAATGCCATAACTCATATCAAATATTGCCATAACTCATATCACAACTCTTTAACATTTTATATTATATATAGTGTGTACCTCCCGTAGGGTATGTTGATTCAGCTTTAAGGAAATTGAGTAGGTGGAGATGAGAGTATGTGTTCGATCTTTTTCAGTATCATCTTTGAAAGAGATTTAAAGCCTTAATCTCGAGTCCTGTCCCGAATCGAATTAGTTGTGAAGCGATAAACCGATTGCAACATTTCAAAAAATAAATAAATAAACTTTTTTATGATATAATTAGGTTAACGTTTTTTAAAGGTATTATTTTAACTTATTAGAGCAATACTAAAATAGTTTTTCTGGGAAATTTATTTAATCATTATAAATTATTTAAATATATTTTTAATTAAAAAAACCAAACAAACGTGCCCTTCACTATATAATAACATGCCATTAAATGATATAAATAGGTTTATATTAAAATAATTTAAGAGAATTACTTTTCTTATGTTACATAAAAAAATTATTATCTCCTACACTCACATTTTTCAAATGGGTCCCACAAGATTTTTTTTCTCTCACATTCAACTTTTTTCTCTCTCCTAACTATTGTTTGAGCATGAGATAATACTTCTCTTATGCAACATAAGAGAAGTATTACCCTATAATTTATTCTTATATATTGAGTTAAACAAAAAGTTGTTAAATTTACTGGTTTGCACTTTACACTCATTTAAAGATTGGCACATGTTCATTCTTAAATTTTATTAAACTTCAAATTTAATTTATCTTAAATTAACTGTTCATATTTCCATCATAATTTCATCTTTTAATCTATATTTTTTATATTATACTTAAACTATTTATGTATATACTACTTATAATTTAAAGCAATATTTTGAAAAAAATTCATTTTATTTATATATTTTATTTATTAAAATTTAAAATATCTTTTTAATACATATAATATTTATTAGTTAAATTAACTCTATAGAAAATAGGCCCAATAAAAATTACAGCTACTTTTTATTAAAAAAAATATATAGCAACTATATACCCTTTTCACCATATCTATTTGATTCAAGAATTACTAAAGACACGGGTTATACCGATTTAATGCCTAAAAAAAATTACATATTAATTTATTTTCTTAATCATAAATTTTTTACAATAATTTAATTATCTAATAAAAATAATATTAAGCTACTCTATTAATTATATAGTCAATACATAAAAATGAGCTTTTAATGTCATTTTCTATAGTTAAGTGATTAACTTTATAAAAGTTTACTTTAAAGGATCTAATTAATATTTTTTTTATACATCTAATCAATATTTTGAAAGATTGAAATATGTGTTTTTAAAGTATTAAAATATGCGTTTTTAAAGTATTAAAATATGCATCCACTCTTAATTAAATCAAAACAAAAGGTGGGTTGCATGGGCTTTGCTTATGATCGAAAAGCAAAAAAAGGTGGACGTAATCCAACGTTGTAAGGCACATTTCTAAGCCCAAACAATGACTAAACTTCTTGTGAGCTCAACACTCCATCAATTCCGAAAGTTTTAGGGAAAATTTTCTTTTAGTTCTCCAATCATCACATAAATTTTTTATCACCTTTGTTCTTTAGATATAAAATCTTCAATCCACCACCAACCACGTTGGTGAATTAGTACGGGTTATTTCAACTTAATTAGTAATCTTAAATTCAAATAACTGTGTTAAAATTTTAATATGAAAAATTTTGTTGTCCTTGTGCTCTTTCTCAACTCGACTGAATCAGTCTATTAGTCCACGAATCATTAAACGAAAATAATTACAGTTTATTATTTATGCTAGGCAAAATCTATTTAGTCCAAGTCAAGTAAACGCTGTTGTTTTTTAAACAGTCGCTAATAAAAATCTAGTTAGTGCACAAACACTTATTCTGAACACATGACATGATTGGTATTCTAGATTACGAGGGTAATAGAATTGGTATTCTAGATTATGAGGGTATAGACTGTTGGGTATGACTCATACTTCGCATGCTGATAATGGCCCTAGTTGTCGGGGTTAGCAGAAAGGCAACTGGGGTCCTGCTCCCAGGTGAGCGGGCGGGGGTCCGCCCCCATGCCCGTAGAGGCTAGGTACTATTGTGGGCCTCTATTTTATTGTAATTTTCTTAGCAGTTTGGGCTTGGGCCCATGAA